GAAAGAGTACGATCTTTGTCTTAGGGATCAGGAGGAGTCATCAGCTTACACACACCTTCCTCTTTTTTGCCAATCCATTTTTCAGACTCCTTACCCTGCCAGAGTTCCAAGGTCCTGCTCTTAGTTCATTCTCCTTGGCCTTCGGAGCGGGAGGTGCTGTCCATGGCTGCGGTGTGAGTACAGGAATCTCAGGTCCAGACGCTGAATTTTCATCAAACACAGCAAAACCCGCATTATTTGAAAGCTGCTGAGAAGTTAGAGTCTGGAAGTTTCTGTTCTGGTTCGTGGCTATAAACAAAAAGATTTACGCAAAGTAAACTTCAACTATCACACTCAAGTGCAAATTCCACAACAAAAAGATGCAATTTTTCCAATAACAAATGCTTTCAGCAGCTGCATATTGGGGCTTTCACTTTTTTCTTCCCCCTGCCTTTTAGATCTGCCAACGAGGTTCTCTGAGGTTCTGCATCTCCCAGAAGACCCGTATCTTTTTCATCAGGAGTTTCCTCAAGCCCCAGTAGTGTCTGCCGAGAAACACGGGTCTGGAACTGCCTGAGAAAAATATTGGAGAAGTCAGCATAAAATTCACTGCACCAGGTACGTGTTGAAGCACATAAGACTACTCTAAATTCTTCCCTTTAGCTGGAAGCTTACCTGTGATAGGACTGGAGCTTGTCCAAAGGCTCAGCCTTGCGCCGAAGACCTTCCTGGAATATCACATCTGCTTTCTTAAAACTTCCTCTAGCCTCAAGAACTTCTGCCCAAGTGATGTAGAGTAGTGCCAGTGTTGTGCCAATTTCCTGGCTATGTAGATAACTGTACAGGTCCAAGGGCTCGTTACAATAATTTCCCTGAAACAAACGAATTACTTCAGTAACTGCATTCTAAGTTGATGTCTGCATTTTGACGCCTCCTGCAAGACCCCTCTGATTTCAATACAAGTCTTACAGGAGCAACCGTAAGGCCAGCACATACAACTGTATCATGTCACTATGCACAAGAAAAGGAATTTAATAGGAAAAGAGTAACAACAAGAAAAACCTCTGACTGCATGTATGTTTGCCAATTTTATTATCAGTTCCTTAATTCTAGCCTACATATTCAGTCATTTCTTAGATTTTTTTTTATCTGAGAGAATTCAGTGATTGAACTATGTTGTATTAGTATTCCTCAGAACAATTATTTTATCTTTATCTAAAGTACAACATGTTTCTCTTCAGTTTCAGAACTGGTAAATCAGCTCAGGAACCTGGAGAAAAGCTGCTTTAAGAAGACGAGAACAACAAAAACTATAGGAATGGAGACAGGACAAGACCAGAACACACTCAGCTTAGTTTTCCTTAAATATAGAATGTGGATACAAGACAGCTAGAAGTTAAAATAACTGGTAGCACAGATGTAACACCTAAAACGTATCTCTAAATCAATTTCTTTTCTTCTTAAATAAATAACTAAGCTCCATCCATTCAAACTAGCTTTTCCAAAACAAAACTTTCAGAGTTTGTAGCTGTCCAAACTCAGTGACCCTAATCAAAGACTGAAGATCCTATTGAAAATGAGAAGTGGAATTCAAGAGTAGGTAAGGGGTTTGCAGAGACATACTTCTAACATTGCACTAGTTGTGCAACATACTCTTTGACTCTATTGTTACAAAAATCAGCTTAACGGTGTGCAAATGACATGACAAGTACCAAGAAAAGCAGCACCCAAGATATATTCACAAGACACTCACAAACTTGAGCCAGATATTAAGATAGCGGGGATCTTTGTAGTATCGCTGCTGTTCGTTGAGTGCTTTCACTGCCCTTTCCAATATTGCTGCGAGATTACACTCCTTTCCACCTTGGGGGAAGGTCTGCTCTGTCCATTTGATGTACCTAGAGATGAAATATATTCATAGGAAGTCAGTTCTGAATAAGACACAAGGCTTCTGTTCTGTACAAGGTAAGGAGATTTAGAAAAAAATTAGGTATACTATTGAAACACAACATATTATTCAAGAAACCTGTTATAGCATTTATCCTTTAATGCGTCTCTTATTAAATTAGAATATTTTTTTCCCAAGCTTTTACAAGGATACCTGACCTTTCTACTCTTTCTTCTGAAATGAAGAGAAACTTACCGGTCCCAAACATCCAGCGGATCATCTCCAGAGTAAAATCGGATTTCTGATTCAAACTCCCTGGAAAAAAATAAATTACCCATCCAATAAATACATGTGTATAACTGTAAAGATATTTTCTACATTGTGAACTAAGACCTTCACTCTCACTCATACCATTTTGTAGGTCTATTAAAAAAAAAGACTAGGCTAGCATATATTTAGACTTGAGCTTTTACTGACACCAGAATTTAAAAAAAAAGCTTTTGAATTCTTCTTCAGAATGAAAGTACTGAGAAATGTATCATTATTTAACAAGAACACATATGCATCATTCCAAAGAAGATTGCCAAGAATTTCTACTACCTCAAAGCTTATGTGATCTCCCTTGACAGAATGATTGTTCTGTTATGAAGTTATTAGCAGACAGTTACTCTGTGAAGTTTAGTTTTTGCATGAAACGTCCCTTATTTAAGTCTAGGAGGAGGCTGGAACACACACACAGGTTGATGGAAAAGCCTGGTGATGGGAGAACTACAGAACTACACCAGAGAAGACAGTGAAGACACATCTAAGTGGCCACACTGACAGTCATCATCTTGTCTCATTCTTCAACTCCCGTGCATCATTCCAGCCCTACAACATGACCTCACCCCCAGGCAGCACATCAAGGAAGAAAAACACCTTGCAGCTTGAGTTAGACAAGAACATTAGCTTGTGTTTAGCAGTGGCTCTTACTCACACAGTCATTTAGGTCGGAAAAGACCTTTTAAGATCATCAAGTCCAGATCCTGTAGAGCTGCCCAGCCAGTCCCTTATTCTTGGAAGGTTCTGCTCAACCATAACACCTCACAAACATAACGCGTCAAGTTGGACAAACCCTCTAGCAGAGCCCAGCACAACAATTCCACAGCTTTCCATGAAGAAAATCCAGATCCAGCTGAGCAGCACTGGTTCAGTCAGTAGTGGGCAGGTGTTCATAGACTCTGCTGACTTCACACAAAATCACTCAGATGGTTCAGCATGGTAAGCACCAGTGCTTCAAAGTTTGACAACACAGTACAGACACAAGACGGAGGCTCCTCACAAAGTCAACTTGGCCTTCACAGGGCATGCAAATTTGAGGAACAGACGACAGAAATGTAACAGAATAGGTCTGGGACACAAGATGCCCTTTGCAGTCATACAGTCATAGCTGTGGAATACTATATGCAAGACAGACCAAACCCAAGCTGACTTTGCCTGTTCGGGTGCCTTTGCAATCCAGAGAAGACAGAGACACCTGTGTATTGCCTACATTACAACAGTAGGAAGTGTTTGCCTCCTAAGAAATACCCTGCTTCAACAGATTATTGTAGGAAGGACAAGGAAAAGCTCTCCTCCTTGTAACCCTTATGCATTTTTCTTAATTAGTACATTTAAAAGCACAACTGAATCTCCCCAGAGTTTGCTGTTTAAATGCTCCATTGCAAACCTAAAAATAGTAGTCTATACTGTACAGTACCCATAGCATGTAGTCCTAAATACCTGGAGTGTGATAGTAGCATAGGCATCAGTTGCTAAACTTCTACTCTTTAATGCTCTTTTTAACATCTATGAGATTCGTACAGTTAAATAAGACGTAGAAAAAAACAGAGGAGGCAGGAAGATACGGGGAAAGCAGGTGTCAAAGCATTGCTCACTGTTTTTTGAGCTGAACGGCGGTGTGGGTGGAGGTCTCCTGCTGAGCCAGTGCTTCCTGCAAGGTGGACATGATGCGTCCCTGGCGGAGGGGCTGCACATTCTCTTTGCTCAGCTCCCACTCATCGCTGCAGTCCTGGGACATGACAGCCTCTCCTTTAAACTCTGCGCTAAGAACAAAAACAATCAGAAACGGATTCGTGAGGTAGGGTACTGACCTGAAGCCTGACAGACCTGCCTTTCCTTAGCCGATCCACCCCACGCTGTCCGTGCGCCCACAGGCACACCGCTTAGGTCCCCGACCTTCAGACGGAAATGGGCGTTTAATTCCCCTCCGTGGGAATTCTATGAAACGAGAGCTAAGCACTCCTTGAAGAGCAGGAAT